CGAGTTTTGCGCGTTTGAGAGAGAACGTCCACTGTCTGAACCCACGACGGCGCTCACTCTTTCCCTGATGCGCCCTTCACTCCGACTCGGTGGCCTATATCGACGTTATATTAATAAATTCGGGATCCCCTTCCCCAGCGTGACCCAATGTGAAAAGCGATATTGCGCTCGTATCGCCGTATGCCGGTGGCCGGGCGTCATCACAGCCACGTGTCGGCCCACATTCGCACATCCGCCATGTTTCTAAATTTTTCGGGACGAGCGAAAAAGTCGCCACCGCGTCAAACGATGTGGCCGCTTCGATGTATCCCAGCATCTGGAAGTTGTCGTACAGGTTTCCCTGCTCCGACATGAACCTGCCCTTCATGCAGCCTCACGAGTTATTGGCAAGTGGTCCCTCTCGCCGTCCGTGGGACTGACCGTCACCGGGTCAGGATGTGGACGGTGGTCACATCCCCGGCGCCCGAACACTGCGCCATGCCCACCCGCGGGTTCTCGACCTGGCGTGCGCCGGCCTCTCCGCGCAATTGGATTACCGTCTCGTGTACCATTGGCTCAACTACTCCGTGGCGCACAGAACGGGTGGACCCAGCGCGCCAGCAGACCGCCGTCGTGGTTATACGGGAAATGTCCCCGCCAAACCGTTCTCCTCCTCCCCTCGCTGGCAGGTCGCGCCAAACGCCTCCCCAAAGGACCCATTTCAGGCTTCAATCTGCTGCAGTTCGCCGATGGTGGCCGCGTCGTGAACCTGCACCAGGTCTATGTCCTCCGGGCCAATGCCCGACATCTCGTACGCCTGCAGCGCCGCTGGCTCAGTTCGGTAGGGACTGAAGGCGGAATGGTCGCTGCCACGCCCGTTATATGTTCCCGACGTCAGCGACGCCGCCACGATGCGGATGGCCCGTTTTCGGTCGATACCGTACATGTCGCAGCATCGGGCCGCGCAGAGAAAGCGGCTGCTCACGCCTTCGCTGCGGCAGCGATTTTGTACAGTGTCAATGGATCTGCGATCATGCGGGAGTTGAGCACTTCCTCCACCGAATAGGTTTCTTTGCGGTGGGCATAGGGGTTCAACGCGGCGTTTTGGCGAGCCTTTACCGTCACCTGGGCCAATGCAGACGCCGGAGCGCCGGTATCTTCCATGTACCGCGTCATGCGCAGCGCGTATCCAGCCATCATGTGGTCGCCGCCGATGAAACGTGCCGGGCTGTCGTCAGCGGTTACCGACACCGGGCCACCCGGCACCTTCTCGGCCCCGAACGCGAGGGCCATGTCGAACACTCCCGATGTGATACCCCAGTACGCCTGCCAGAATGCGGTTGATCCGCTGGAACAGGCATTCTCCACGTTGATTATGGGAACTCCGGTCAGACCCAGTTGCGCCAGTGTCGTTTCGCCGACTGACATCCCCTGATAGTAAACGTGGCCGAAGTACGCCACCGGGATGGCCTGCCAAGGCACGCCGGAGTCTTTCAGAGCCTCTACCACGGCGTCCCGCGCCAGATCCGACAGGCTCTTTTCCGGGAAGCGCCCGAAAGGATGCAACCCAACGCCCACCACCATTACTTCCCGACCCGGACGAAACTGTGCCATCTTAGCCTCCTGCCGACCCGCAACCGTTTTCCACGGTAGTGCGCCGCGTCATGCCCGCTCCCATTTGTAGACAACCCGCGCCGTGTCGCCGTCTCCGTCCGTTCCCACGGTCTGGAACGCCAGTTGTACCGGCATACCCAAGCTCAGTTTGTCGTGGGGGCAACCGATGATTTCGGCGAGCACGTGCGGCCCTTCCGGTAATTCCACCTCGCCCAGTACATAGGGAACCGGTCCCGGCCAACCCGGTGGCGGTACCCTGACAATGGTGTAACTGAACAGTGTCCCTTCTGAAGCCAGCTCCACATGGGCCAGGTCTGGAGACGTGCAGGCCTGGCAGAACGTGGCGGGACCAAACACGCATACACCGCACGCCTCGCACCGCATACCCAGCAACACGCCTCGGGAACCGGGTTCGTCGGTAAGGCGTAACAGGTTTTCGTCTACTGATACAGGCATAATCGTTCCGAAATGCTGCTCCGGGTAACTGGGAGCGGCGGGTGCCAACGAGTGTAAATGGCCTCAATAATGGTGTCAATTGAAACCCCGCGTCGTCATGCCATGCCTCCACCGGATCGCTGGCCTTGCGTCAGCAGCGCCATAGCAATCCTGAAGGTGCAATGGCGGAGTCACCAGGCCCTATTGACCGCCAATTGACCCGCGTGATAGCGTGAACCAGCCGACCAGCCATTCGCCGCGTGCCTTGTTGAGTTGCCGTTATGAACAACATTCTCGCTCTGGACCCGCTCCCGGGTCGTCAATCCTGGGAAAAATCTCTGGGAGAATTTTTGGGGATCGTCACCGCAGCGGATCCCGGCAAGGTGTTCATCGAGATCGCAGGTCAGCAAATTACCTACGGGGACTTCATGTCCCGTTGTCGCCGCGCTGCCGCCATGTTTCGGGATTTGGGGATCCGTCATGGAGACCGGGTTTGCATCTTCCTGCCAAACGTGCCGGAAGTGCTCTATACGTGGTTTGGCCTGTCATTGATCGGTGGGATCACCGTTACCATCAACACAGCTTATCGCCGCGATGAGACGGCCTATATCCTGAATAACGCCGAGGCCACCGCGGTGGTCGCTCATGACTCCCTGATCGACGTGGCCTCGGCTGCCGCCGACCTGGCTCCTTGTGTGCTGCATCGATTGTGGGTCGGGGATGGCAGCGTGCCTGACGGATGGACGCCGTTCACGGAATTGTTGAACGGCTCAACCGAAATCGCCGAACTGCCGCCGGTGGCCCCCACCGATCTCTCCATGCTGCAGTACACCTCGGGCACCACCGGAAACCCCAAGGGCGTGGAAGTTACCCACCAGATGTATGTGGCGGCCGGACAGGGATTCGCCCTCTGGACGCAGGCCACCACCGACGACCGGTTCTTCACTTGCTTGCCTTATTTCCACGCCAACGCCCAGTATTACAGCACAATGGGCACCCTGGCAGCCGGCGCAACGCTGATAGTTCAGGACCGGTTCAGCGCTTCCAGGTTCTGGCAGCAGGTCCGTGAGGCGCAGGCCACGGTGGTGAATTTCATCGGCATGATGATGCCGGTGCTGGCAAAGAACGACCCTTCGTCCGACGATTCCGATAATACGGTTCGCCTGTTTTATGGCTCTCCAGCCTTCTCGCCCGAGTTCCTGGCCGAATTTGAGCAGCGTTTTGGCACCGACATCATCGTTGGTTTCGGTATGACCGAAACATGCTACGGCACCATCGAAAGCATCAGGGGAGAACGCCGCCCCAATTCCTCCGGTCTGCCCCGCCAACACCCCGATCCTGCCTTCGCCAACGCCGTACGCATCGTTGATGACGACGGCCTGCCCGTGCCCAACGGACAACCGGGTGAAATCACGATCTGTAACCCGGCCACCATGACCGGTTACTGGCGAAACGAGGAGCAGACGGCCCTCTCGCTGCGCGACGGTTGGCTGTTCACCGGCGACCTGGGATGGCTGGACGACGACAATTATCTCTATTTCGTTGACCGTAAGAAAGACGTCATCCGCCGCCGCGGTGAGAATATCTCTTCGCAGGAAGTGGAAGACGTAATCAAGCGGCACGAAAGGGTTCTTGATTGCGCCATAATTGCCGTGCCGTCCGAGCTCGGCGAAGATGAAGTGAAAGCGTACGTCACCCCGCGCGCCGGCCAGACGGTGCAGCCCGATGAGGTGGTGTACTGGTGCGCCGAGCATCTGGCCTACTTCAAGGTGCCACGATATATTGAAATACGCGAAGAGCTGCCCCGTACTCCCAGCCTTCGCGTTCGCAAGGACCTGTTACGTCAGGAACGGGAAGATTTGATCGCCGGTTGCTTCGACCGAGAAGCGGCCGGGATCCAGATTCGGCGCTAGCGCTGGTCGAACTGAGGAGCATACCGATGAACAAGATCGAAGCAATCTTCCGCCCCGAACGATTGAACAACGTAAAGGATGCGCTCAGCGAAGTGGGAATCGTGGGATTGACTGTAACCCAGGTTACTGGCCGCGGCGCCCAGGGCGGCGTCGAGGTCACGGCAGCCCGTGGCCTGGGCACCTTTCGCATTGATATGCTCCCCAAGGTCAAATTAGAGGTCGTGGTTAACGATCCCGATACCGACCGCGCCGTCGATGTGATCCGCACCAATGCCATCACTGGCAACCCGGGCGACGGCAAGATTTTTATCTATCCGGTTAGCGATGCAATTCGCATTCGCACCGGGGGGCATGGTTCAGACGCAGTGTAGGCTGCAAGTTCAATCAGAGAATAGCCAATCAACGATTCAGAATCCTTGGGAGGCGCATACATGGCCGAGCCGCGCTATTGGCTTTTCAAGTCAGAACCCTCTTCATATTCCTACGACGACCTGGAATCTGAGGACGATCAAACCGCTGAATGGGACGGCGTCCGTAACTACCAGGCCCGCAATTTCATACGGGACGATATGGAAGTAGCGACCGGGTGCTGTTTTTAACACCGCCACGGCCAAACCTCACACGGCTAGTCGTGGGCATCGCCCGCATCGTCCGCGAAGGCTACCCCGACACTACGGCGTGGGACTCAAATTCGCGTTACTACGATCCCAAATCAGACCCGGCCAACCCAACCTGGATGATGGTGGACATCAAGGCCGACCGCCGCCTTCCCCGTTTCATCAGCCTCAATGAACTCAAGGCCAACCCCTCCCTGGTCGATATGATGGTCACCAAACGGGGCCAGCGTCTATCCGTCCAACCGGTCAAGCCCGAGGAATGGTCCGAAGTCATCGCTATGGCCGAACGCTCCGAGGACTGAACCCCCGGCCAGTTCCCGGGCTGGCATCCGTTGTGTTGCAGCCGGTTCAGCGGCGGACGCACATGGACCCTGGTTCAGAACGACGCCAACTACAATGACCCGCTGATCGTAATATCCAGCAGCGCCGGCTTCCCGCTATCGAACGCGCGCTGCACCGCCGGTCCGATTTCGGCAGGATCATCGACCCGCTCGCCGTGTACGCCCATGGCCTGAGCCATCATCGCCAGATCCAGCCGGTTGGCGAATTCCATCCCCACGTACTCGCTGTCGCGTTCCTTGTCCTCCAGCATATCCCGCAGGTAAACCTCCATGTTTACCTTCAGGATGCGATACGCCTGGTTGTTGCAGATGGCATAAACCAACGGAATGTTGTACCGGTTCGCCGTCCAGAGCGCCTGCACCGTGTACATCGACGCACCGTCCCCTACCACCGCCAGCACGGGCCGGTCGGGGTAAGCCAACTTTACGCCCAGAGCGCCCGGCATCGCCCACCCCAATGCGCCGCCGCGGATGCCGTAGATGTCGCCCGGATTGGTGAATTCAAACGCCCGGTTCACCGCCGGTCGCGATGTTACGGCCTCATCGGCCACAATAGTATTGGGGGGAACTGCAGCGGCCAGTTCGTGCATCATGCGCTCTACCGGCATCGGGCGGTTGTCCCAGGTGGGCTTGATGCGTTCCTGATAGCGTTCGCTGTCGCGACGACGGGCCGCGGCCAGCGTGGCCGCCCGTGTGGCGGCGGCCTCCCGTTGGCTGCCGTTCATCTCCGAGTCCAGCGACTCGGCCAGGTCCGCCATGCCGGCGCCCGGATCGGCCAGGATGCCAACCTCGGTGGGGTAGTTCTTCTCGATCTCCCAATATGCGCTGTCCAGGTGAATGAGGCGAGCATCCGGTTTCAGGAATGGGACGTCCACGTACAGGAAAGAAGCGAACACATCGGTGCCTACGGCCAGAACCACGTCGGCGTTGGCAAATTGTCGCGCCGTCGCTGGGCTATTCAGATTCAGCATTCCGCCCCATTGCGGGTGCCCCGTTGGAAAATTGACCTCCGAATACGACGTGGCCACCACCCGCGCCCCGGTTTGCTCGGCGACTTGTACCACAGCATCAACCGCGCCCGATTGGGCCACCCGGTCGCCGACCACTATCATCGGATTTTGGGCGGAGGCCAACAGTTCGGTTGCCCTGGCGACGGCGGCGGTGTCGGGTCGAATCCTGAAATACCCTTCCGACGACGGCGTGGCTTCGAACTCAATCTCCTCATCCAGAGTGTTCCAGGGAAACGACACGAAAACTGGACCGGTGGGAGGTGTCTTCGCTTCTTTGAATGCCCGGCGAATCGCCACCGGTATGTCCGATGCGTGAAGAATCTCGGTGCTCCACTTGGTGTACTGCTTGGTCATTTCCACCAGGTCTCCCGACAGCACCGGTTCGCTGATGGCCATCCGTGTATCAGAATTGCCCGCGGTCAATATGAGCGGCGTCCCGCCCCGGAACGCGTTGTAAAGGCCACTGATACCGTTGGCCAAGCCGCCTGCAATATGGATGTTGGCGAACGCCGGTTTGCCGGTGGCCCGGGCGTACCCATCGGCCATGCCCACTGCCGTCCCTTCCTGCAACGCCTGGATGTATTGCAGTTTTGGGAAGTCCTGCAGTCCGTCCAGGAATGGCGTCTCGCTGGTGCTGATTTTACTAAAAAACTTTTACTTAAAAACTTATTTGACCGAGATGTACTCGACGCCTTCGCACATCATCTGGGCAGGCGTGGCGGCTCCACGCATGCTTATTATCTCCTGAGTCCGGGTCAGTTAATTTGTGGGCCATCTACACATGGGCCAAGGTCCCCATAGTTTGGGAGCCGAGCGCGTTGGTATTTCCAACGGCGCGCCGACGTGGCAATCTCACAGCCGTCGCGAATGGATTACTGGTAAATCATCCATTCCAGAAGGTTGTTGTCCGGATCGCGTGCGTAAAGACTTACCGCCGGCAAAACACCACGCTGGCGAGCCCCCTTACGCGGACCGGGCCCCCGCACTACTTCGACGCCGGAGGAGGCCAGCATTTTCTGGCAATCTTCTACCGATCCATCCCAGACGAAGCAGATATCGGTGCAGCCGGGAACGGCGGTCGGCCCGCGGTAATCGGCCAGGTAGGCTTCGGGATGCACGTTGATTTTTGAGTCACCGATCTGGATGGAGAAAATGTTGGCTGTTCCTGCCCGCCATTCCTCCTCGTCGTTGATGGAGAAACCGAGCTTTTTGTAGAACGCCATCAGACGATTGGCGTCGGCGGTGGGCATCGCGATGTGGTCAATTCCTACGGTTGGCATCAGTTCGCCTCCACGTTAGTGTCTTCAAAACAATTATTCGTTCTACCGGATTCAGATCGATCGGTTGCAGTCAAGTTGGCGCGCGCTGCTACAACCACTACACAGTCGCGGCCTTCTCTTCGGGAGACGTAACGCGCGTCAGGAAATCCAGGATTATCCGTTGGGTATCGCCGGCGGCGGCGTTGGTCGTCAGGCCGTGCTCCGCGCCCGGAATGATGTGTAAATCCGAGTGCGTGATGCCCTCGGACAGGCTGATACCGCATTCCAACGGAATTCGGCTGTCCATGTCGCCGTGCACCACCAGCGTGGGCATCTTGATTTCGCTGAGCCTGCTCTCCAGCGAATCGCCGATGTCGAGATAGCCCTGTTGGGTGGCGGCGATACCATCGATGCGCCTCAGATTCTCCTGGGCGATGCGTGGAACCGTTCCGGTTCGTCAGCCTGCATCTGCGGGAACCGCTCCGATATGGCCCGCGCTACCGCCGCGTTTCGCCCTTCCGACGCAATACGGTCCTTCAGTCGCTGCAACTCCTGGCGGCGAACCTCGCGCTGAGCCTCCTGCGAGTAGGTCATGGTGTTTATCAGCAGCAGGCTATCGGTCATCTCTGGATAATCCAGACCAAACTGTAACGCAATCGGGCCGCCCGCTGACGAACCCAAGATGTGAGCCCTGGTGATGCCCAGGTGAACCAGCAATTCGCGTAGATCCCGGGCACAGTTGGGAATGTCGTACCCGTCGGCCGGAGCGTCAGATCCGCCACACGCCCGCCGATCGTAAAACACGCAACGGAATCTTGCGGACAGCGCGCCGGCCTGACGGGAGATGGTGTCCTTACTGCCGTCTCCCCCGCCCAGTCCTCCGTGTATAAACGCCAGAACCGGCGCGTCCTCATCCCCGAAAGCGGAGTATTGCATTCGGTAACCATTAATCGGTTCAACAGGCATGTTTACTTCCTCAACTCGTGCGACAATCACGGCCCAATATATCCGCTGGCCGCAAGAGTGGCAAGGCAACCGTTGCGTGTGCCAGGGCAATCGCATTTTGATGCTATTGCTCCCGTCTTTCCCGCGAAAGCGGGAATCCAGTATCCGAAAGGATTGGAGACCGTCCGAAATTCGACTCAATCGTGCTTTCTGGGTTCCCCGCGTTCACAAACGAAGCGCAATCTGTAATGCGATTGCCCTTTTGCGTGTTCACCGTGCGCCGATGGGAATCTCGGCATATTTATCCAAATCGGTTGGTAACTCAGGATACCAATTCCCCTTATGCTAAAATGCGTGTATAAGATCACTTGCGCGATATGACCACTCAGGGACACATATACTTTCGATCATGCCGGCACCACGGCGATGGATCAAAGGGTGCTTGAGGCCATGTTGCCCTATTTCACCCAGCTCTACGGCAACGCCTCCAGTGTGCATACCGTCGGGCAGGAAGCGCGTTATGCGCTGGACGGCGCTCGTGAACGTGTCGCCCGGGTGCTCAACTGCCGTAACCGCGAGATCGTTTTCACCAGCGGCGGCACCGAGTCCGACAACGCCGCCATTCAGGGAGCGGCTACTGCTTTGGAAGAAACGGGCCGCCACGTCATAACCGCCAGCACCGAGCATCACGCCGTGTTGCACGCCTGTCAGGTGCTGGAAAACCGCGGCTGGGAGGTTACCTACCTTCCCGTTGATGACTTCGGGCAGGTTGACCCTCAGCAGGTTTACAACGCCATAACGAACGAGACCACCGTCGTCTCGGTCATGTACGCCAACAACGAAATCGGTACCATCAACCCCATTGCCGACATATCGGCCGCCGTGAAAACCAGAGCCGCCGAATTCAACCGCACTATCGTAATGCACACGGACGCCGTCCAGGCTGCCGGCTATCTTGACCTTGATGTCCGTAAACTGGGCGTAGATATGCTGACCCTGTCGGGCCACAAATTTTATGGCCCCAAGGGCGTGGGCGTGCTGTTCATACGGCGCGGCGTGCCGTTCCTTCCGCTCATCACCGGAGGCGGTCAGGAACGCGAGCGGCGATCAGGCACCGAAAACGTAGCTGGCATCGTTGGTTTGGCGGTGGCTCTGGAGTTGGCCGACAGCGAACGCGACGCTATTGGAGCCCGCTGCCTGGCGCTGCGTGACCGGATCATAGCCGAGATTTCCCGACGCATACCAAATTGCGTCCTCAACGGGCATCCCACCGAACGGCTGCCCAACAACGTGAATTTTTCTTTCGCCGGCGTTGAAGGAGAACCTGTTTTGCTGGGGCTGGATCTGCAGGGCATAGCGGCCAGCAGCGGCAGCGCCTGCAGCAGCGGCTCCCTCGAACCTTCCCATGTGTTGCTAGCTTTGGGTCAAACCGCCGACGTAGCCCGCGGGTCGCTGAGGATCACTTTGGGCAAGGACAATAATGATTCCCAGGTGGATCGGCTCATGGATGTATTGGTGGGGTTGGTCGACGACCTGCGGGCATTGCCGACTCTCAGCGGAACGGCCAATGACTAACATTCGGATCCTCAAGGCTCGCTGGTGGGTGGCTGTGATGCTGGTGGGGGCTGTGTTGCTCGTTTCAGGGCTCGCCTGTTCTTCGCAATCGCCCAAAATCGGGATATTCCACAAGGGCCGCGTCCTTCACGTGAACGTGGTGGCGATGTTGACGGTTGACGAAGTGAAGTGGACCACATCCACTCGCCTCCCCAGGCCCGGCGCGACCGGAGAACAGTTCTTCCAGTTGCAACCCACTTCCGAGGAAAACGAATTCGTCCTGATGCGCGTCAAGGTTGAAAACCACACTGCGACCAGTGTGTTGGTTAACATAAATGAACAGTCGGCTCAGTTGAGGGATTTTCTGCAAGGCCGTTATTTCCCGTTGGATGTTGAACCTATCGCTCAACCGGTTGGAGTACCGGAAACACCCCGCGACCGCTGCAATTTTCCTGCAGATCCCCGATCCCCCGAGGTTTGTGCCAAGTTCCTTTGGAATGCGCGCGTCGAGGAAATGCAGGATGACGGCGAAGTGAAGGTGGTTGTCCGCGCTCAGGAATTGCCCAAGGGCCACGGTCTCGACGGCTGGATGATATTTGAGGTGCCCAAAGATACCGCGATGCGAGCATTCCGCTGGGCTGCCGGCGACACTGTGACTATCGATTTCTAGGATATCTCCATGCCGTTATCGCCACGAGTATCCGGCACGCCTACCCGGGTGAGCCTTCTGAGGATACCTGCGGGTGAAGGACTGTTCGCCTCTGGTGTCGGTTGACCGGAGATGTTCGAACCGCAGCACGCCCTAACGTGATGAATCGTTCATCCGGACCGAACGCGCCTCCTGGGTGGCGGCGTTTGTTTCATCTGATAGCCGCCGGAGGGACTACCTTACTGGCCCTGGCAATACCCGAGCGACCCTATCTGTTCCTGCTCGGCAGCGGCGCACTCCTGGCGGTTGCCATGGAAGCTTGGCGGTTCCGCACCGGCCCATTGAACGCCTGGTTCCTGTTTCTGTTCGCTCCGATCCTGAAAGCCACTGAAAAGGAAGAGATTACCGGCGCCACCTATTTCCTGTTGGCGGCATTCTCTCTCCTTCTTCTTTTACGGCGCCGACGTAGCCATTCCGGTGCTGCTGTTTGTGTCGGTAGGCGACCCGGTGGCGGGGCTGGTGGGGGTGCGCGCTCCCGGCCCCAGGCTGTGGGGCAAGTCTCCGGTCGGATCCGCAGCTTTCTTCGTCGCCGCACTGGCCGGCTGGGCCATCATGTCAGCGGTAGGGTTAGCGGATTGGACATGGGCTATCGTCGCCACGGCTGCCTTCGCCGCTGCCGTAGAAATCACGCCCATCCCGGTGGACGATAATCTCACCATCCCGCTGCTTTCGGGGGCGTTTCTGACGCTTTTGACCGTAGCCGGGTGGTAAACCCGGGTAGTTTACGGCGATCAGGCGGTGGCGCCTTCAAACTCCAGGACTTCGGCCCGTTGCCGCTGGAAATTCAGGTAACTGTGTCGCGTCATCGCCGGCCGGAAAGACGAGACAACCTGCCGGCCCTTGGCCGCGTTGTCTGCCAACAGGTCGATTACCGACATGGCCATTATTTTCGCCGGATTCACCACCGCCTGTTGATAGTCGGTTATCAGATACTCCAGGCTGTGGCCCGCCCCCTGTGCGCCGGCCGTGTAGGGATGAATCGCCGGCAGGATGTGACTGAGGTCTCCCATGTCGGTGGAACCCCCTCGGGTACGTGACGCAGGCATCGTCAGGACCCGGTTTGGATCCATCAGGTTGCCGGCGTTTTCTCGGAACAGTTCCATCAGATTCTGGTCGTGGCGCATGGGAAGGTATCCCGGGATGTTGGTAATGGACACCGCGCCCCAACCGACAGCGCACCGGCCCTGAAACAACGGTCGACAATGTCCGAGTTGCGTACCACCGCCTCGGGAGTGCCGGACCTGACGCGCCATTCCAGGCGGACGTCGGCCGGCACCGCGTTTACTGCCTCGCCCCCCTTGGTCATGATGCCGTGGATCCGCACGGTATCCTGCTCGCGGAAGATTTCCCGGTTGGCGTTGATGGCCTGCAGTGCGAATGTCGCCGCGTTCAGCGCGTTGATACCCCGGTGCGGCGAACTCCCAGCGTGTGCGCCCAAGCCGATGAACCGAACATATTTCACGATGTGTCCGTTGCTGGTGCCACCGGTCGCGAAGGCATGGGCGCCCATGTCGCTGGCGGTATGGCACATCATGGCGATATCAATGTCGTCGAACTCACCCAGTTTTATCAGCTCCTGCTTGCCGCCCAAAAACTCGATCTTCCCGGCCTCGCGCAAATCCAGCCGGTGGGCAACCTCGATAAACTCCTCTGCCGGTACGGCGAAGGGCACTATCTCACCGTGCAATTCGGGCAGCACGCCCGGATCTGACAGGCCGATCGCTGCGCCCAGCATCATGCCGATCTGACAATGGTGGCCGCATGCGTGGGCGGCGTTGGTTTCGGCATCCGCGTAAGGGTGCCCGTTGACGATCAGGCTGTCCAGTTCCCCAATGATTGCCACCCGCGGGCCATTGCCGGCGCCGCCCTTTATGCTTCCTTCAGCCCGGTCAATGCCAGTCCCGGGCGGAATTTTATGCCCAGCTTGGCAAATTGCTCGGCGACCACCCGCGCGGTGCGGTATTCTTTATACCCCGGTTCGGGGTTGCTTAAAATGTCCCTGGCGATCGCAATCAGATCATCGCTGTGGCGGTCTATCGCGGCGCAGGCATATTTCTTTAGTTCTTCTCGGGTTGCCATAAGGGTGTTCTCGATCCCCCAAAGAGTGCGCGAAATCGGGATAATCAGGCTTCGGTGTAGGATGCTTCCGATGCCAGCGAACGCATGAAGTTCACGTATTGCCGTGAGGTCATCTCGGGGCGGTGGTTGGCGATTACCTTTCTGGCTTCACCGGCTCCGTCGGACATCAGGTCGATCACCGTGCCCGCCATTGCCTTCGCTGCGGTTATTACCGCTAGCTGATAGTCCTGAACCACATAATCTGCACCGTGCCCGATACCCGTTGCCCCACCGACATAGGGATGGATCACCGGCATCAGGTAGCTGACGTCGCCCATGTCGGTGCTTCCGGTCCGATGTTCTATGTGCCCCACGTTTTCGGCGCCCACCAGGGCATTGGCGTTCTCTTCGAAAAATCCTGCCATGTTTTGGTTTTGCATCATCGGGAGGTAGCCGGGGAGGGTCTGGATGTTAACTGAAGCGCCCACCGCCATGCGCTCCGGCCCGCAACGCGCGGTCGACCTTGCGGTTGGCATCCATAATGGCATCCAGCGTGCGGCCGCGCACGAAGGTTTCCATGCGTACGTCTGCTGGGACCGCGCTCACCGCCTCGCCGCCGGTGGTGATGATGGGATGCACGCGGATCGTGTCGCTGTCGATGAAAGTTTCCCGGTTGAAGTGGATGGCGGTCAGGGCCAGCGTGGCCGCATTCAGCGCGTTGATGCCCAGGTGCGGCGATCCGCCGGCGTGCGCCCCTTTGCCCACAAACTGGATTTTCTTCGCCAGGGTGCCATTGTTGGTGCCGCTCAGGCACAACTGCCGTTCGCTGGGTGTGCTGGTAGTGTGCAGCATCATTGCCAGGTGTACGTCGTCAAATTCGCCCAGCCTGATGAACTCGGGTTTCCCGCCCAAAAACTCGATTTTGCCGTCCCGGCGCAGACGATCGCGATATTCGATCTCGATGTACTCTTCCGCCGGTACCGCCATGGTCACAACGCGGCCGCTCAAATGCGGCAGCACATCCGGATGCATCAACCCCATGGTGGCGCCCAGGGCGATCCCGATCTGGCAGTGGTGTCCACAGGCGTGCGCCGCCCCGGTGGTCGGATTGGCGTGGGGGTGTAGATTGACGATCAGACTATCCAGCTCGCCAATAATGGCCATCGTAGGGCCTTCGGTCCCGCCAATCACCTCTCCGCGCAAACCGGTCATGCCCAATCCGCTGCGGAATGGCACTCCCATCTGGGCGAATTTATCACCCACCAGCCCCGCCGTTTTGAACTCTCGGAATCCTGGCTCCGGATCGGCCAGAATCTGTTTCGATAGGGCAACCAGCTCGTCCGCCCTTTGGTCGATTTCGGCGAACGCCTTGTCTTTCAATTCTGCTTTGGTGGGCATCCCGAATCCTCCAGCCCGAACTGGCGAAATTCACGCCGCAATGATGGTAGCACACCGCATTGTGGTTGCATACTTCGTTCCCAACGCTGCCTCTGGACGCGATAGCCGTGCCCAATCCGGCACATGTTCAGGGAGTATAATCTGACCATGTCAATCAAGGTTGTGATTGCCCCCCAGGCGTTCAAGGAAAGCATCGGTGCGCGAGACGCTGCCGTTGCCATTCAGCGGGGTGTTTTGCGGGCCGCTCCCGACGCCGCAACCACCCTGATTCCGGTGGCTGACGGAGGTGACGGCACGCTGGCGGCCCTCATCGAGACTACCGGCGGCAGGTTTTTAGATGCGCCGGTGATTGGACCGTTGGGAGAAGACCGCGTTTCGCGATGGGGTGTGATGGGAGATGGACGCACCTCCGTCATCGAAATGGCGTTGGCTTCCGGATTAGCCCTGGTACCAGAGGGTCAGCGCGATCCGCGCATCACCACAACCTACGGAACCGGTCAGTTGATCGGGGCGGCCCTCGACGCCGGTTTCGACCGCATCATCGTTGGCCTGGGTGGCAGCGCCACCAACGACGGAGGATCGGGAATGGCTGCCGCCCTGGGAGCGCGTTTCCTCGATTCCCACGCAACCGAGCTGCAGCCGGGCGGCGCGGCTTTGGCCCACCTGGCCGCCGTCGATGCCTCGGGATTGCACCCGCGTTTGGCCGATGCGACCATCGTGGGGGCGACAGATGTTACAAACCCGCTCTGCGGCGACACCGGGGCATCGGCCATATTTGGACCGCAGAAAGGCGCCACTCCCCAAATGGTTGCCCAACTTGACCAGTGCCTCATGAACTTTGCCCGGGTGATCTTCGCAGACCTCGGCATTAACGTTGCAGATTCACCAGGATCGGGGGCAGCCGGTGGGCTTGGCGCTGGACTGCTGGCGTTCGCCAACGCCGACCTGCGCTCGGGCATCGACATGGTTTGCGATGTGCTCGAATTCGATCAATACGTCAATGCAGCCGATCTGGTCATTACCGGCGAAGGTCGCGCCGACCGTTCGACTGCGTTCGATAAAGCGCCGGTTGGAATCGCCCGGCGCGCACGGCTTCAGGGTGTCCCCACGCTGTTGCTGGCTGGAAGCCTCGGCGCCGGCTACGAAATCCTGTACGACCACGGTATTGACGCCATCGTTCCCATCGCCGACCAGCCGATGGATCTGGACGCCAGCCTGGCCCAGGGAGGCGAGCTGCTGGAACGCGCGGCGGAACGGGCCGTTCGACTCTTCATGCTGGGAATGACCCGTATATCGTGAATGCAGACCCTGGCCCGCCCAGGGATTATCGGAACATCGCGACCTCAGGCAACGCTGGAGTGGCTTGTATGCAGTTGTTCGTTTTGGAATCCTGCCAGTGGTTGCCGCGCCCGCCCGAAGAGATATTCCACTTCTATGCCGACGCGTTCAACCTGGAACAGTTGACCCCGCCCTGGTTGGGGTTTCAAGTCGTGACGCCGCCTCCGATCACCATGGCGACCGGCGCCGAGATTGACTACCGACTCCGTTTGCATGGTTTTCCAATCTCATGGCGCAGTCGCATCACGGCATGGGAACCACCCTTCCGTTTCGTTGACGAACAGATACGGGGGCCGTATCGACGCTGGGCGCATCAGCATACGTTCATTCCGCAAGATGGAGGCACGTCTGTTCAGGACCGCGTCGAATACGGATTGTGGGGCGGCTGGCTCATCGACCGGCTGCTGGTGCGCCGCGATTTGCGGACGATTTTCCAGTTCCGTCAGCAACGCCTCGCCGCCGAATTCGGAGCCGGGAAAGTGCCGCCCGGCCGGGTCGATTTCTAGGCTACTCTAGGTCCCACGAATTCGATCACGATGCCCGCCAGTTCAATGGCTCGTTCGGCGTCCACATCGTCGAAGGCTTCTGCCGGGATGCCGCCGGGCAGAAACGTCGGGTACCGTGTGATGTCGTAGTACTTGTCCAACTGCCGAGCCTCGGCCTTGATGGTGTCGAAAAACATCTCGAATAACTTGGCGTCCTCGCACAGATCGATCAACGAAATGCCCCAAACGTCCTCGGCTCCGCGGCGGTACAGGAATGCCTTGATCGCTTTCTCGGCAGCTTGCTGACTCAGGAAACAGGCCACGTTGTATCGTTGGCCCTGCTTGTTGAAACTGGCGTCTTCCAGGTCTCGTTCAGCTTGTCGAAACCAGCGAGCGCCCTCTGCAGCATGATCAGGCATCAAAAACCACCCTTCCCCGTTTGCAAGCTTGGTAGAGCGCCGGTAACGTCTCCTGGAGTTCTTCGAATTCTTCCGGAGTATACACCTGAGCCGTAATCCCTACCTGCGCCCCGATATGGTAGGCGAAGAAATCGGCGCGGCGACCAAACGGCCGGTCGGTTTTGTGCACGAATATGAAATCTATCGTGCTGCTGGGAGAATAGTCCTCGCTCACAACGTCACCGATTACAATGGCCTTCTCGATGCCCAGCGTGGGCATCACTTCCACCATGTTGGCAAGTTCCTGTTCCAGCATCTGTTTACGAAATTGCGTGAATCCAATCCGAACCGGCATCAGCATTACTCCTCGTTTAGCAGGACCAGGTGAACTTCCCTCGGCCCGTGCACGCCCACCACGATTGTCTGTTCGATGTCCGCGGTGCGACTTGGTCCAGAGATGAAGTTCAGGTAACTGCCCATCTCTCCCCCGTTGCGATGGTACTCCAACCGACGCAAAACGAACAGGTCGTCCAGGTTTGCGATCACGTCCTGCGGTCTGACTATGGCCACGTGGACCGGTGGCACCACTGAAACCAGTCGGCTCAGGCCGCGTCGTGGCAATACGATCACCGACCCGGTTTCTGCAATTGCGTAATCGGCGCCGGTTATCCCAACGCCAGCCTCCGACAGCCGCCGTCTTACCTCGGTACGCTCGGTTTCGCTGCGATAAACGGCGGGCCAACATACAGCGCCGGCTCCGGCCAGGGCTGCGTCAACGGGCACCGTTTCGAATACGGATTGCTCCGATCGGGCCGCCGAAACTACGCGGAGTCGCCGTGCCAGCGAGGTTACATAACCCAACGCCGCCTCGCCGTTATCGACCCGTTCCACGTTCCACCCGCGCAGCGCCGCGGTTTCGGCCAATCGGTTCATCAGGGTGGGCAACTCCGCCGCGGTCCGATCCCTGATGGCCTGGGCCTGCGATTCCAGCGTCGCAATGTCTTCGGTCAGGTGGACGTACGGTTCGGAAGGCGGGTTTGCGTCGCGACCCAACGCCTCGCGCACCGAAGCAAAAAACTGCGCGGGCGGGATACCCAACGTCCCGCTGGCAGCAGCGTCCAACGGAGATGGGATACCCATAGGGTTGCCTGAATTTCGATCAGCCATCGGTTTGGGACAACTGGTCCCGCCACATTTCCGCGAACGTGCGCGTCGGCGGAACGGGGAGATCTCGCGCCCTGGTCCATCGCGACAGGAAGGGTACCCTGGTCGGGCCAACCCGGCCACCCTTTGCGATGGCGCGCAGGAAGAACCTGCCGAACCGGCGCGATAACCGAAGCAACGCGGGACTGGACATAACCTTTGCAAAACCACGAGCCATGAATAAGTCCCGATCCGACGCAGTGCGCTGTTGGGAATCTGGGCTTTCGGCCAGTTGTTGTCGCAAATGCAACAGCATCCTGGGAATGTTGATCTGCACCGGGCACGCGTCACGACATGCCCCGCACAATGTGGACGCATTGGGCAGGTCTTTGGCCTGCGCTATTCCCACCAACGCGGGCGTTACTATAGATCCTATGGGACCAGGGTATACCCATCCGTAAGCGTGGCCGCCCACCCGCTGGTAAACCGGGCACACGTTGAGGCAGGCCCCGCATCGAATGCAGTAAAGCGACTCGCGCAGTGCCGGGTCCCTTAGCAAATTGCTGCGCCCGTTATCCACGATGACCAGGTGAAATTCCTCCGGCCCATCCTCGTCATCATCCCGTTTGGGACCCGTAACCATGCTCACGTAAGACGAAATGCGTTGACCAGTGGCCGATCTTGGTAGCAACCGGAGGAATACGGCCAGGTCCTGCATCGAAGGAACCACTTTTTCCATCCCAGTGATCCCGACGTGTATCCGTGGCGCCGACGTGCACAACCTGCCGTTTCCTTCGTTGGTGATGATTACCAATGTTCCGGTTTCGGCTACCAGGAAGTTGGCCCCGCTGATTCCCATGTCCGCGTCCAGAAACTTCTGCCGCAACACCACGCGGGCGATCCGCGCCATTTCGTCAATATCGTCCGAGTAGGGAACCCCGAGTTTGTCGGCAAACAGCTGGGCTACCTGACCGCGCGTTTTGTGAACGGCTGGCGCCACCAGGTGAGAAGGTGTTTCCTCTGCCAACTGGATGATGTACTCGCCCAGGTCGGTCTCGAATACCTCAACCCCCTGCGCTTCCAGCACGTGATTGAGCCCCAGCTCCTCCGACACCATGGATTTGCTCTTGGTGACTATTTTCACGCCTCGCTGGCGCACGATTTCCGAGACGATGGCATTGGCGTGTCGGGCATCGGTCGCGAAATGCACCTGCCCGCCGGCTGACCGTACGTTCCGCTCCAGCATCTCCAGGTAGTAATCCAGGTGATTGATGGTGTGTTCCTTGATGCTCCGCGCCTGTTGACGCCATTGTTCCCACCGTGCCGGCGTTATCTCCTCGATGGCCTCTCGCCTCGCTCCGTCGAAACCGGTGCCCGCCCGCCCGAAGGCCTGGCGCAGTTGCGGATCCAGTACAGCCGTACGTGACGCCGATACAAACTCGCGGGTAGTTACTTCAGCCATCGTTCGGTTGCACTCCCGTGTCAAGCATTTGAGCAATGTGGCGAACCCTGACCGGCAACTGACGTCGGCTGATCGCACCACCAATGTGCATTAAACAACCCATGTCGCAGGCCGTAATCGTGTCGGCGCCGCTTTCAACGATGGCTGAGACCTTGTCGTCCAGCATCGCCTCGGAAATGTGGGGATACTTCACGGCGAACGCGCCACCGAATCCGCAGCACTGTTCAGCGTTGGGCAACTCCACCATCGACGTGTGTTCCAGGGATTCGAGCAGAGCTGTCGGTGCGTTGCCTACTTGCATCTCCCGCAGCAGATGGCACGATGGGTGATACGCCACATTGCACGTTTCGGCGCCGGGCGGAGTAATAATTCCCTGCGTTCCTTGCACGTCGACCAGGAATTCAGTGAATTCGTAGACCTTTTTCGACATTGCTTCGGCACGACGGAGCAAATCCGGGTCATCGGCGAACAGGTCCAAGTAGAAAACGCGCATCATCGCGCCGCACGACCCTGATGGCACCACTACAAACTCGCAATCTGCAAACGAGTCCAGAACGCGAACCGCCAGTTTTTTCGCTTCTTCAGCGAAACCTGCGTTATACAGGGGTTGGCCGCAGCAGGTCTGCCCGGGCGGGAAATCTACGCCGATACCGTGCCGACGTAATACTCGCACCACACTGGCGCCCACCTCAGGAAACAGTTGGTCGATGATGCAGGTGACGAATAATGATGCCCGATCGGGCTTCGGCTGGGTCAATTGGTTCCCCCGCGTTGCTTGCTGGGAAAGGTTAGCAGAGCGCCAACTTTCCGGCAAGGCTACTGCTGGGTCGGTCAGGGCAATCGCATTTTGATTCTATTGCGCTCGCCTCTCCCACACAGTTGTCCTGATGTGTCTGCGGCCACGTCCGGCTGGCACAGCCGGTTCCTGCACATTGGGCCTGCCCAACACGAAGCAAACGGATGCTGGCATCGTCAACTCTCTTGGCCGGTCGCAGGGTTGGGCTTCGGGCCGGCTCAAGTTATCATATAAGTCAGAATATTAGTGGAGGTCAGGCAGGATGTCTGAAGAGTTAGGCAGGATCACCCGTCCGGCGACGGCAAATTACCAGGGAAAACGGAAGCTGTTGCTGGCGCCGTTGGTCCACCTGCCCGGATCGCCCGACGCGTTGCCGCCCGAGGGTGTGGCAATAATCACGACCTACTGGGAACAGGTCGACGTGCAGGTCAGGGCCATTCAGAATGCCCTGGGCAGTATTACTCACGTCTTCCACGAAAACGTCCCCGAAGGCGATGACGCCGGAATCCAATACCTGGAGATGGTGGATTTGCCGTCGTCCCGGCTGGTGCGCTCATTGACCGACGCCGGGGCGTCACTGGAGGCAACCGAGTCCATGGAGATTCTGGCGGAGAATCTGGACCTTCAAAGATGCCTCATGGCGCCGTTGATGAGCCAGGTCGTTGCTGACCGTCTGCAGGAGTGGTTCAGCGATGCCAACCGCCGCCGGTACCAGCATATTTCACAAACTATCGACGCGGTTGTGGGCGACGATGAAACCGCCTTGTTGCTCATTAATGAACGCCACCAGGTCCAGTTCCCACCTGATTTTGAGGTCATTTATATATCTCCACCGGCATTGGACGAATTTCGCCGGTGGGTTCAGAATTGGGCAGAGCAACGACAGGCCGAAATGAGTCGCATGGCCGACGCCGACGCCCAGGTTGAGGCGGAAAACAGCCCGGATGATAGCGGCGACAGCGCGCCGGATTCCTGAACGGCCCTGGCAGAATTAGAAAAGTCCCGGCGCCCAAGCGCCGGGACTGATTCATAGTTGGTAGCGTTTCGCGTTCCTATCGAGCGCCGACCCCGCTGAACTGAATTGCCTCAGTTAACTCTCGCGAGCCATGCGCTGGCGGGAGTGCGAGGGAGTCGAACCCACCTACCCCGCTCGTCACGAGGCATAACGGATTTGAAGTCCGCAGGGGCCACCGGGCCCCATCCACTCCCTTGTCCGGGAACGCTAACTCTCAAGCACAGCTTCGATCTTGCGTTTCAGGGCTGGCTTGGGCTGTGCGCCAATAATCTGATCGACCGGTTGGCCGTTCTTGAAGAATATGAGCGCCGGGATGCTGCGAATGCCGTAGCGGGCTGCAATGTCCGGATCGTTGTCCACGTCCAGTTTCGCCACGTTCAGCTTGCCCTCGTATTCTAGCGCCAGGTCATGCACTGCCGGGGCGATCATCTTGCACGGTCCGCACCATTCGGCCCAAAAATCTACCAAAACCGGCAATTCTGAGTCGATAACGCTGCTTTGCCAACTGTCACCGTTGACGTCCATCGGTTCGGGCATGTTGCACTCCTTCGGGCGGTGGGTTGTATATGCCGACGGCATTTTCCTAATCTCGAATTCCCCGAGAACCAGGGCATCCAGGCCGCCGGTGAACGCATACCATATTATACCGGGCCCTGTTCCGGGTCAACCGAGCCCTCGACGCCTTCAGGGCAGTCGCATTTTGATCCTATTGCCCTCGTCTTTCCGGCGCAAGCCGGAACGACTCAAAGTGCAATTTATTTTGGGATTGCCCTGCACTGGCGCCGCGTGTTTATTCCGGTGGTAGGCGCCAAATGGTAGTATGTCAGGTATGGTTGAATCCACATCCGCACTAGCGCAACGCGCTCCGGAGCGGGGCGAAACATTGCGTCTGGAATTGCTTGCCTGGGGACGTCTCGGTGAGGCGTTGGCAACCTACGAAGGCCGCGACGTTTTCGTTTTCGGCGGTATTCCCGGGGAGACAGTAGACGCGGAGGTTGTTGCCGTTCGGCGCAAATATATTGCCGCCCAGGTTATCCGCGTCATCACGGCGTCTCCTGACCGCACCGAACCGCCCTGTCCCGTTTACGGAGAATGTACCGGCTGCCAGTGGCAGCACCTGGCATATCCGGCGCAGTTGGCAGCCAAAACCGGGATCGTGCGAGATGCTTTCCAACGGGTGGGAGGATTCGTCCAGGCTCCCATATCCGACACATTGCCGTCGCCGGATGAATTGCACTATCGCAACCATGCCCGCTTTAATGTGTGGCGAGAAAGCGGGGCGTTGGGATTCGTCCATCGTGAACGCCGCCGGTTCGTTCGCATCGACCGCTGCCTGCTGATGCACGACGGTATCAACGAACTGATTTCAAAACTCCAGGGAAGATGCAGCGAAACGTCCCAATTATCCATCCGCGCCTCGCAAACCACCGGCGACTTTCTCGTGCAGCCCAAAATGATCAACCCCGATATTCCAGTGGAATCTGGCCAGAAACGTTACCGTGAAGCCGTCGCGGGCCGTGAGTTTTGGGTTGCCTCGCCGTCGTTTTTCCAGGTGAATGTGAAACAGGCAGCGCAACTGGCAGTACTGGTCAAGGCAGCCTTGGGATTGACTGGTGACGAAACAGTGCTGGACGCTTACGCCGGCGTCGGCGCCTTTGCGGTGTTGCTGGCCCCCGATGCCAGGCGGGTTATCGCAGTCGAGGAATCAACCGCCGCCATCGCCGACGCCCTTGAAAACGCCGCTGGCATGGCTAACGTGCAATTCCTGACCGGTAAAGTGGAGGATGTGCTGCCCAACCTCGACGAAACCCCCGATGCCGTGGTGCTGGACCCGTCCCGTTCCGGATGCCAGCCTGCGGTGCTGGAGGCGTTGCTCCGCATCGCTCCCCAACGCATCGCCTACGTCTCCTGCAATCCCGAATCTCTCGCCAGAGATTTGCGGACGCTGTGCCGCCGGTACGCCATCGAATCCGTCCAGCCGGTCGATATGTTTCCCCAGACGCACCACATCGAATGCGTGGCCACCCTGTCCCTCAAACCCGACACCAGCCGCATAATCCTGGCATCAGCGTCGCCGCGGCGCCGGGAACTGCTCGGCGGTTTGGGAATACAATTCGATGTTGCCCCGTCCAACATCCCCGAGGATCAGTTGCCGGGAGAAACTCCCACGGACATGGTGCGGCGTTTGTCTCGCGAAAAGGCGCTGGCGTCGGCTGCCGCCGACAACGGCCAGCACGGATATTTCATTGCGGCCGACAGCACCGTGGTGCTGGACGGGGAATCTATCGCCAAGCCCCTGGATGTCGACGACGCCCGCGCCATGTTGCGACGTCTGTGGGGAACGCAACATCAGGTCGTAACCGGAATGACCATCCTCGACGCCTCAACGGGTCGTTGCATCACCGAGTCCATGTCCGCCGACGTTGCAATGCGCGAGTTCACCGATGCCGAGATGGAATCGTCGATAGCCAGCGGAACCCCCATGGACAAGGCCGGTGCTTACGCCATACAGGACGATGAATTTCGCCCGGCCTCCATGCTCAACGGTTGTTATCCCAACGTGATGGGCCTGCCAGTCTGTCGCGTCGTCGAGATTCTGGCAGAACTCGGTTGTTCCACACCCGATTGGGCCGATATGACCGTCCCCCACGGATGCCTGGGCAAATGCCCGTTCCAGTCCGGTGACACCTCCCCCGGTTCTGGAGCTACGCAGCGTTCTGCTGGAGCTACGCAGTGTTCTGGAGGTATGCGGTGAACGTACTCGGCATCGGGCCAATGGAGCTGCTGGTCATCTTCCTGGTCGCATTCCTGGCTCTCGGTCCCGGGAAATCGATTGATGCCGCGCGAACCGTGGGTAAGGTCGTTCGCGAAGCCAGGCGCACCTTCGCCGAAGTCATTGACGCCGCATCCATAGACGACCTCGCCACGCCCGACGGGCAACGCCGCGAGAGCCCACCCCCAACAGGTACCACCGGCCCAACGGTCGCCCCGCCCTCCGACCCCCTGCCGGCCCCGGCGCATCTCCATCAGCAGGACTCGGATGCAAACGCCGGCGCTTCGGAAACCGACGCGAATAGCAGCCCAACCTGACCATGCTGGGTGAGCTACAAACGCTGGCAGCGCAATACGCGGACGTGCGCTTTTGGCTGGTGGCCTGCGCCGTCGTGTCGCTTGTCATAATCGGCGCGGCGGTCTACGTCCGGTCTCGAAGGCGGTGGCAATTCACCCGGTCGGCGATGGGCGATCCCCAATCCCTGCGCGAACACTTCCGCGAGCTGCGCTACCGGATTCTCATCTGCATCGTTGCCCTGTTAATTGGGGCTTGTATTGCGTTCTACTTCTATCAGGACATCATCGGATTTCTGGTGGACCCAGCCCGGAATGTCGTTGGCGACGATGAGTGGACGCCCATTTATACGGAAGTTACCGAGTTGCTGGGCACCACCATAAAAATCTGCATGCTGGCCGGATTTGTACTCGCCCTGCCCGTAATCTTCTATCAGGGGATCCGGTTTGTCTCCCCTGGGCTCACCCCCCGCGAACGAAAGGTGTTGTTTTCTTTCCTGCCTGCTGCGGTTTTGGCCTTCGTGGGCGGAATGGCTTTCGGCTATTTCGTCATGATCCCTCCTGCCCTGCGGTTCCTGCTCACCTTCGGAGGCGACGTTGCCGAGCCATTGATACGCATCAGCAACCTCGTCAACCTCATGGTGCGCCTGCTGTTCTGGTTGGGAATATCGTTTGAAACTCCCCTGGTGATGTACGTCCTGGCAGCCCTGGGAGTGGTCAGCGCCAGCGCCTTTGCTCGATTCAGGCGTCTCTGGTTGGTGGTGGCCTTCGTATTAGCGGCGGCTATCACCCCCACCATCGACCCGATCAATCAGGCCATCGTTGCCGGCCCGTTGATCATCCTGTACGAACTGGGGGTGCTGTTGGCCCGTTTTGCCGGACGTCGCAAATCGTCATCAGCGGCCCTCAGCGCCAACGCCACCGGCGACTAGCGGGGACCAAAAAAAGGCGCAGCCTTGGCCGCGCCCCAGATTCTACGTTGCTTCGCCTGCGTTGCATCCAACGTTGTTCAGGTGTTCTGCTCGTTTGACCCCGTTTCCGTGCCGGTCTTTTCGTCCTCTCCGGTTACCGAAGATTTGAATGACCGAATTCCTTTGCCCAACGAGGACCCAATTCCGGGCAGCCTGGTGGCGCCAAAAATCAGTAGCAGAACAACCAGTATGAGAAGTAATTCGGTGATGCCGAAGGGGCCAATGCGCATTGTGATACCAGCTCCCGCTCAGTTGGGTCTATTCTATCAGACCTCAATTGCAACTGCTACCACCGCGGCAGTCGCGTCGAAACCAAAAACGTTGTTCCCGGCGCAGGCACGCGCTGACGCAATGGTTTTGCCTGTGCCTCGTCTTGCGCACCCACTTTGTCATTGCGACCCCGTACTCGATGCCGGGGGTTGGCAATCCCGCCCCCGTAGCAAAGGCGGTTCGCCGACGTGTGTTCAACCTCATCGGGATTGCCACGCCGCAACGCTCCTCGCAATGACAGATCAAAGTGGGTGCGCGTGAACCCGTGCCTCAACTTGCCGCACCCGGTTGCGGACGCTATAATGCTGCAATCGAACGCGCCGAATAACCGCCGGTGGTTTTTCCCCAAACGTACACCGCGCGGTTAGGTAATTTAAAGCCGTGCCGGTGCGACTCCGAGCCCTTTGGGAAGTTGAATGGTAACCGACTCCGAGTACGATGTAGCAGTAATTGGCGGTGGGCCCGGCGGTTACGTCGCGGCCATCAGGGCTGCCCAATTGGGACTGAAAGCCTGCGTCATCGAGCGCGACGCCCTCGGCGGTGTTTGTCTCAACTGGGGTTGTATCCCATCCAAGGCGCTCCTCAAAAACGCGGAAATCCTTTCCTACATTCATCGCGCGGATCAATTCGGCTTGCGGTTTGATAATTTCTCGGCCGATTACAGCGTGGCGGTCGAACGCAGCCGGCAGGTCGTGGACCGCATGACCAGAGGCGTCGGTTTCCTCCTGCGTAAGAACAACGTCGAGCATATTGCCGGTACGGCTCGCCTGACCTCCGCGAATTCAATCGACGTGGTTGGCGCCGACGGGCAGTCATCTCAGGTAAGCGCCCGCAACATCATTGTCGCCACCGGCGCGCGCCCACGGAGCATCCCGCCGCTGCCGGTTGACGGCCAGCGCATCATTACCAGCCGCGAGGCCATCGTGGCGGAAGACGTGCCCGCATCCATCGCCATCGTGGGCGGTGGCGCGATCGGCGTCGAATTCGCCTACGTTTACCGTATGTATGGTTCCAACGTAACGATCATCGAGTTGTTGCCGCGCCTGGTTCCCAATGAAGACGAGGAAATCAGCCAGCAACTGGAACGGGCCTTCGGTCGCGATGGCATCGAGTTGAAAACCGGCGCCGGCGTCACCGCAGCCCAGGCCGACGCTTCCGGCGTAACGCTGACCATCGAGAAAGACGGCGCCACCGAAACCGCGCGCTTCGACAAGGTTCTGGTAGCCATCGGCGTGCAACCCAATACGGAAGATCTGGGCCTGGAAGCGTTGGGTGTAGCCACCGATCGGGGTTACATAACTGTGGACGACCAAATGGCCACCAACGTGCCCGGCGTTTATGCGGTCGGCGACGTTACTGGCAAATTGGCCCTGGCCCACGTCGCGTCCGCCCAGGGTGTCACCGCAGTTGAATCCATCGCCGGCGAGGAAACCCAGCCGCTGGACTACTCCCTGATGCCCAGGGCCACCTATTGCCATCCCCAGGTAGCCTCAATGGGATTGACCGAAGCCCAGGCTCGGGAGCAGGGCTACGAAGTGAAGATCGGGCGTTTCAACGTGCAGGCCAGCGGCAAAGCAGTCGCGATGGGTGAAAACGACGGCCTCGTCAAGCTGGTCATAGACGCCAAATACGGCGAACTACTGGGCGGCCACATGTGCGGCCCGGAGGTTACCGAGCTTCTTGGAGAACTGTCCATGACCAAACTGTTGGAGGGCACTACCCTGGAACTTGGTTGGGCCGTGCACGCCCACCCCACCATTGCTGAAATGTTGCACGAAGCCGCTCTGGACGCCGAGGGTCGTGTGTTGCACATGTGATGCAGCCCGCCGGCCCTCATTTCTAACGATCCCCAACAACTGCCGACCGAATTCACTGCCAAGAGGAAGGGATATGCTGAAGCCAGCGAATGTTCCCGATCTTAACAAAACCGACTTGCTGGAATATTACCGGCAAATGAAACTCATTCGAGAGTTCGAGCGTGAGTCGGAAAGGCAGTACACTCGAGGCAACATCAAGGGTTTCCTCCACGTCTACAACGGCGAGGAAGCCATCGCGGTGGGCGCCATCAATTCGCTGCGTTCCGATGACTACGTGGTTACTCATTACCGAGATCACGGTCAGGCGCTGGTGCGCGGCATCTCCAGCAATGAGGTGATGGCCGAGTTGATGGGGAAAGCCACCGGTTGCAGTAAGGGCAAGGGTGGCTCCATGCACATGTTCAGCTCCGAACTGAACTTCATGGGTGGATACGCCATCGTCGGCGGGCAGTTGACCATTGCCGCCGGAATCGGCATGGCCATTCAGTATCGCGGCGACGATCAGGTGGTGTTGTGTTTCTTCGGCGACGGCGCCGTCAACGAAGGGGAATTTCACGAAGCCATGAACCTGGCCGCCATTTGGAAACTGCCCGTGGTTTTCTTCTGCGAGCACAATCTCTACGGCATGGGCGCGTCGTCCAAAGAAACCCTGGTGATGTGGGACTCGCTGCACGAGATGGCCGCCGCATACGGCATGGACCGTTATGAGGTTGATGGTAACGATGTGTTGGCCGTAAGCGGCCTGATGCAAAAAGTGAACGTTGATGTGAGGGCCGGCGCCGGTCCCGCTTTCATTGTGGCCAAAACCTACCGCCTGCGCGGTCACTCCGTCGCCGACCCGGCGGACTATCGCCCCGATGAAGAGGTCAAATACTGGGCCTCGCAGGACCCCATCCCAAGGTTTCGGGAATGGCTAGCCGAAGAAGGCATAGCCACCGTCGAGGATTTCGAAGAAATCGACGCCAGCGTTGAAGAAGAGGTGGTCAAGGCCGCCGAGTTCGCCGAATCCTCACCCTGGCCCGAGCCGGGCGCACTGTATGAAGGTGTTTATTCTGACCGACCTGCCGAAGGTATCCCAGCGTAACCTGAACCATTCGCTTCGAGAGGATTTACCATGTCGGTCATTACCTATAGAGATGCCGTTTCTGCCGCTTTGCGTGAGGCCCTGGACGAAGACGAACGTGTTTTCCTCATGGGTGAGGATATCGGACCTTACGGGGGCGCATTCGCCGTAACGAAAGGGGTTTTGGGAACAATACGGTAAACGCCGCATCAAAGACTCCCCGCTGGCCGAATCTGTCATTGTCGGCGCCGGCGTTGGAGCTGCGATGGCCGGTCTGCGCCCGGTGGTCGAACTTATGACCATCAACTTCAGCCTGCTGGCAATGGACCAGATAGTGAACCACGCCGCCAAGATTCGTTACATGTCGGGCGGGCAATTCACCATACCGTTGATCGTTCGCACCGTTACCGGCGGGGGAGCATCTGTCGGCGCCACGCATTCGCAATCGTTTGAAGGTTGGTTCGCCTCCGTTCCCGGGCTCACTGTGGTCACGCCGGCCACACCGCGCGATGTGATTGGCCTGTTCCGTACCTGCCGGGATCTCAACGACCCGGTGATGTTCGTGGAGCACATTCTCCTTTACAGTACTCGCGGAGAGGCTCCCGATGACGCCGGTTTTCGCATACCCATAGGCCAGGCCGAAGTGCGTCGCGTGGGAAAACACATCACCCTCTGTGGGTATTCCCGGATGGCGTTGGTGGCAGAACAGGCGGCAGACATCCTGGCTCAGGAAGGCATTGAGGCCGACGTTATCGACCTGCGATGTCTCCGGCCCCCTCGATATGGAAACTGTGATCGATTCGGTCAAAAAGACACACCGCGCCGTCATGGTGGAAGAAACCACTCGGCTCGGCGGCTTTGCCGGCGAATTGGTCTCGCAGATCCAGGAAGAAGCCTTCGATTACCTGGACGCTCCCGTCGCCCGTGTGGCCGGCGCCGAAGTACCCATGCCATACTCGTTCCCTCTGGAACAGTTGGCAATTCCCGATGCTCAACGCATCGCGGCGGCGGCTCGTCAACTGGTGAACCGGCCGGCGCCGTAGCCACCGGTGGTATCCCCAGAATTACTAACGCTCCGTCCGTATAACAGGAGGACAATGTGGCTACAAACGTCGTGATGCCGCAGATGGGCTACGATATGAGAGAAGGTACCGTGGTTCGCTGGTACAAACAGGAAGGCGAAACGATAAACCGTGGCGAGGTTATCGCCGACATCGAAACTGACAAGGCAACGGTGGAATTTGAGGCCTACACCGGCGGCGTCTTGGGAAGAATCGTGGCGGCTGAGGGTGTGGCGGTGCCGGTGGGCAACCTCATTGCCATCATCACCGAGCCGGGCGAAGCTGTGCCTGAACCCGCGGTTGCACCGCCAGCGGCTGCTGAACCTGCTCCCGCTCCAATCCCTGAACCCGCCGCAGCGGTGGCTCCTCCCGCCGCCGCTCCGCTAGCCGACGGCCAGGTTCGCGCGTCTCCCATCGCCAGGCGTCTGGCCCGTGAGCGCGGCATCGACCTCTCCCTGCTGACCGGAACCGGACCCAATGGTCGCGTGGTGGAACAGGACGTCCTTGACTACCAACCCGCCGCAGAAACCGCGCCAGCGCCGGCTGCTGCATCCGCAGTCGCCGCTCCGGCAGATTCGCGCATCGAGCTCAGCCGAATGCGGCAGACCATTGCTCGCGTTACCGCCGATAGCAAGTCTACTGCGCCACACTTCTACGTAACCGCCGAAATCGACATGGGCAAGGCGATGGCCCTGCGCCGCGACGTCAACGATGCCGCCGCGCCCGAAAACCGGGTGTCTGTCAACGACTTGATGGTCAAGGCGTGTGCGTTGGCGCTGGCCGCACACCCCAAGTTCAATTCCTTCTTCCGTGGTGACCACCTGGAAGTTCATGGATCGATGAACATCGGAATCGCCATCGCCCTGGAAACCGGTTTGATCCTGCCCGGTGTCAGCAATTGTGAGAGCAAGACCCTTTTGCAAATCGCTGCCGGCACCAAAGACCTCATCGACCGCGCGAACAACGGGTCGTTGCGCAACGATGAGTACAGCTCCACCACGTTCAGCATCAGCAACATGGGGATGTTCGACGTGGAGAGTTTCACCGCAATCATTTATCCGCCCCATGCCGCGATTCTTGCCGTGGGCAGCGTCAAGGAGCAGCCCGTGGTTCACGACGGCCAACTGGCGGTCGGGCAAATGATGAAGGCTACGTTGTCCACCGATCATCGCGTGGCTGACGGTGCGGAAGCCGCCCAGTTCCTGATGGAAATCAAGCGCGTGCTCGAAACCCGGTTGCGCTGCTGCTCTAACCGACGGCTGCCAAATCGGAAGCGTCCCCAACCGGCGATCGCGGGTATCGCGTGCGCTCGATAAAATAGTTTCTGATCAACGGAGGCCATAATGGCACAAATGACCGGCGGCCAGGCCGTGGTCCAATCCTTGAAGGCCCAGGGTGTCGACACCGTGTTCGGCATCATATCGGTACACACACTGGACCTGTTTGATGCGCTGTTCGAGTACCAGGAAGACGTGCGTTTCATCGGTGGTCGTCTGGAATTGGGCTGTGGATACATGGCCGACGGCTATTCCCGCGCCACCGGCAAACCGGGCGTGCTGCTGACCAGCACCGGGCCCGGCGCTGCCGATTCCATGGGCGCGATGGGCGAGGCGTACTTCTCGGCGTCGTCCATCCTGCAGGTCACTACCAACGTGGAAACCGAGTTCATCGGCACCGGCAAGATGGCAACCCACGAGACCAAAGACCAGTTGGCCATGTTCGCCGCCGTAACCGACTGGAACGCTCAAATAGGCCAGATCGAATCCATACCAGACCACTTCGTGGAGGCATTTGTCCGTTTTAAGGAACGTCGACCGAGGCCCATCGAGCTGGAAGTGCCCACCGACCTCCTGGGACAGCAGGCCGATGTCGAAGTCCTGCAACCCCGTCAACCCGACGTGCCACAGGGTGATCCGGTGCAGGTCGAACGGGCCTGGAACCTGCTTCGCAATGCGAAACGTCCGGTTATTTTCCTCGGAGAAGAAATCCACACCACGGGTGGAGCTGAGGAGATCGTCCGGTTGGCGGAGCGGCTGGGCGCACCGGTTGTAACGGGCGACGGCGCCAAGGGCACATTCCCCGAAAACCACCCGCTTTCCCTTGGTATGGCTCTTGGCAACCGGATCTGGGGCCAGAACCCGGTGTTGGATTGGATGGGAGATTGCGATGTCGCGCTGGTGTTGGGTAGCAATCTGCCCTACCGTTCCACCTCAGGCATCGGGCTGAAACTGCCCCCAACCGTAATTCACGTTCTGTTGGACGGCGATTACATCGGCAGGAACTACGAAACCCAGGTTCCGATCGCAGCCAATAGTGGAGCAGTAGTGCGCCAGTTCCTCAGCGCAGCCGGGGACACCGACATCAGTGTCGGCGATTCGTACGGTCGCGAGGTTGCCGAGCTGAAACACCGGATATACGACGGTCTGCAAGAGCAATGGGGCCCGGAATTACGCGCCTGGGAGTCGATCCGGTCCGTCATACCCGACGACACCATCTTTTCCCTGGACGCCACTGTACCCGCCAATCGTGCGGTGCGATGCCTGCAAATGAACCGTCCCCGCAGTTACATGTACCCCCACGGATGGGCTGGCCTTGGTTTCGGGTTTCCCGCGGCTATGGGCGCTAAAGTAGGGCGGCCGCAATCCCCGGTCATCTGCGTAACCGGTGACGGCGGCTTTCAGTACAACGCGCAGGAGTTGGGAACGGCCGTTCAATACGGCATCAACCCCATCGTAATGGTCTTCAACGATAGCGCCTGGGGCGTACTCAAGGGCTACCAGAAGGATCGCGGCAGTCGCCAGATGGCCACCGATCTGGTCAATCCTGATTTCATAAAGCTGTTTGATTCATACGGGATCGGTGGCACGAGGGTACACAACGTCAGTGAAACGACCCGCGCCGTGGAAGACGCGGTCCGGGCCGACCGTATTCACCTCATCGAGGTTGCAATGCCCGATGGATTCCCCGCTTTTTGTGGAGTTTAAGGCATGGCTACCGACCACCGTGATCACACTGAAACCGTTCGCGAACAATTCCGGATCCAGTCGGGTCAGTTCGAGCAGCAGGTCGGTGGGCTGAGCAACAGCGCCATTGGTCCCTGGATTCTTGAAAACCTGGGCCTCACCGGTCCTGAATCCGTGTTGGACGTGGCCACCGGAACTGGGTTGATGGCCCGCGATCTGGCTGGTCATGTGAAACACGTTACCGGCATAGATGTAACCCCCGAGATGTTGCAGCAAGCCCGGGAGTTGGCGGCCCGCGCCGGAATACCCAACATTCACTTCGACGATGGCAATGCCACCGCCTTGCCCTACGCCGATGATCAATTCGACATGGTGATCAGCCGTATCGCCGTCCACCATTTCGCCGAGCCCACCGTGGAGTTGGGCGAAATGCGCCGAGTATGCAAACCCGATGGCAAGGTGGTAATTGTTGACATAACCGCCTCCGACGACCCGAGCCTCGCCGACGCCCACAATCAACTCGAACGGCTGCGCGATCCGTCCCACACTACCGCCTTCCCGATTTCTCAACTGCGAGACCTTGCCGGGCAATGTGCCTTGCGCGTGGCCCACTCCAGCGAGGCTGATGCTGCACGGGACCTCGACGAGTGGATGGACCTTACCGCGACTCCCCAGGATGTGCGCGACCACATCAATGCCGCGTTCGAGGCGGATTTGTCGGGCGGCGCTTCCACCGGAATGCGTGCCCATCGCGAGGACGGCCGCGTGAAATTCATCCACCACTGGGTGGTGCTGGTGTGTGAACTCGACGGCTCCGGCCACTGAACTCCCCGAATCTGGCCAGCCCGTCCTCCGCCACTCCCGAAATGGCCCAACGCCCTTCAAGACCTCCCGCAACTCAACGCCGGATTTACCCGTTATCGCCTCGCGACCTTACGGCGGAGCAGATCGCCGTAACCTTCGCCATGACGTCGCGGCGACCCGAACCCTTCGACGAAATCGCTCAGCAGGTTAGCGCCGAACGCGCCGCCGATTTCAATGAACGCTGGGTCGTCGGATACGGCCATGCCTCGGTGGCAGAGCACGCCATCGTGCATCTGGCCGTGGAAAACATCTCCCGTCTGGCGTGCGATGCCCTGGAAGACAATCGGCTGGCTTCCTTCACCGAAAAATCATCCCGTTATCAAATCATTGATAACGACAGTTTCTGGATACCGGATGAGCTCCTTCCCGAACCAGCCCTGCTCAACGCCTACGTCGATGCGTGCCGCGCGCTTTTCAGCGGCTATCAGGGCCTGCTCGACGGTGTGATGCAATACCTGACAAACCGGTCGCCGCAACGTCAGAACGAACGGGATGGCGCGTATGCGATGCGACTGCGGCGTCTTGCCACCGATGCCTGCCGGGCAATCCTGCCGGCCTCTACCCTCACCAACGTGGGTGTAACCGCCAACGCCAGAACCCTCGAATATGCCATCACAAAACTGATGTCATCCGATTTGGTCGAGCAGCGGGGCATCGCGGAGCAGTTGAGGGATCAGGGCCGATTGATAGCCCCAACTCTGGTCAAGTATGCCGATCAAAACGCCTATCTGGCGGAGCAACACCGCGCGGCAGTCAACGAGGAAATACCCCCAGGAATCGATGACGCAACATCGGTGCGGTTGCTGGACTATGACCGGGATGCTTACAAAAAACTATCCGCTGCATTGTTGTATCGACAGGGCGGCGCCTACGACTCAATAGCTTCCAGTGTGGACGCAATGGGTGAGCCTGAACAGCTGGCGGTGATCCAGCAGGCGGTCAGCGGCATTGGCCCCCACGACTCAGCGCCCCGCGAATTCGAGCTGGCCGGTTATACCTTTGAGTTCACCTTCGACTACGGCGCCATGCGAGAATTCCGACGCCATCGGATGCAAACGTACTTGTCCCAGCCCCTGACCATCGCTAACGGGTACGACGTTCCCCCGCTGATTGAGGATGCGGGGATGCGCGGGGTGTTTGAACAGGCCGTGGCCTCAGCTGAGCGGGTGTTTGACCAACTGCCGCCCCCGGTGCGCCAATACCTGGTAACCCACGCCCACCGTCAACGTGTGCTGTCGAAGATGAGCCTTCGCGAGTGCTACCACCTGTTCACATTACGGTCATCCCGGCAAGCCCACGATTCAATTCGTCGACCCGTGCTTGAGGCCATGCGGCTTGCCGTCGGCCTGCAACCCGAGCTGTTCCGACACCTGCGCCTGCGCGACGCCCCAGACTGGTGGCCGTTCGCGCCAGAACCCGCCGGCGCCTAGCCTACCCGCTCTACGGCCGGTGCAACCGGTAGCCTACGGGTCGGAGCAATCCCGCGTGTAACCGCAGTTCCTGCAAATGATCTTGCAGCTGCGTTCAAGCATCCTGGCTCCGCAGATTTCGCAGTCCAGCCCGTCGTCCCGCCCGGACGCCGGTTTTCGCGCAGGGGTAGGGTTGACCCGGTTGGTCAGCATTACATCCTCCTCTACCTTTCCCAACCCGCGTGGAGTCAGTTTAGACCTGCGGGCGTCGGCGGTCCGCTGATTATGCGGGCGCTCAGGAACTTTTCGCCATTCGGTGCGGAGGGTCCGTGTCGCTCATCCGGCATCAGCGCAACTTCCCGGAATTCGTAGACCGATTCGTCCAATTCCAATGATTTGACGCTGTTGCCGTCGTCCACGTTAACCACAATGCGGTCAACGAGAGTCTGTTTGTCGGCCCGCACCAGCCACACCTGGTATGAGTCTGCCGGCATTCCAGACACCATCAGCACTGCGTGCTGGCCGCTCTCGTCCACAATCAACACGCCCTTCGCTTCCGGTTCCGTGCCCATGGGAGAGGTCATCGGAAGCTTTTCCGTTTCCGGCTGCATCGCCAGCATGGTTGCTTCCATCACGTCCGCCATGTCCTGTTGAACCAGGTCCACCCGTTCCGATTCGCCGGGAATATTTCCTCTTGCCGACTCAGCAGTTGTCCCGGGACTGAAGCGATTGAGGATCGTGTTGATAGTCGCATCGTTCGACTGACGCCGAGCCCGGATCTCTTCGAACTGCAATTCTGGCACGATGCCGTCGCCACTCGTGATGCTCGCCGTTACACCGGCATCTTCAGTTTGCCGCATGTCTGCGACTTGCGATCCTGCTGGTGCGGCCGCCGCTGCCCTTTCCGATACAACCTGCGTAGCGGCAGTCAATTGATCCAGTTCGCGATCCTGCGCCACTATCATCCCGATTGCGCCCGCCAGCAAAATACTCAACGCGGCAATTGACGTCGGCGCCAGCCACCTTCGGAGGCGTCGCGGCGACCAGCGGGCGTCTGCCGGAGGTAACGATCTGGAAGTG